ATATTACAATATCATCTATTATTTGCTGCAATTGATGGATAATCGACACAACAAATATGACCAAATTCATTACAATATATTGTACATATACTGTATATACTGTATATACTGTATACTGTATATATAATAAATGATTCACGGAAAAATCGTAAATAATGCTGCGCCACGTGTGCAAACAAAATTTGTGTGCCGCGCGGTCACCGGATTTCATCTACGAAAATAAATTTTCTTAAATTAATTAAATTAATTCATTAAAAAAACCTCATGTGTACACACACATAAAACAACACACACACACACATATATATATACAATACCTCCCTCCGCATTTCTTTTTTTCCTCTTCCATCCGTGGTTACCGTGAGCCGAGAGTAAACACAACAAGATCTCTTATGCACCGTATGTCAGTGTATACAACAATTGTTGGAATGGCGCACGAGTTCTTCCCCTCGATTTTTTTTTTTTTTTTCTACTCCTGAAAACATCCGTTAGGATATGGCCCCGCCTGATGAGGTCAGCGTAAATTCTCTGGTAATAAGGGGGTTTCTCACGCTTCGCATCAGTCAAACCGGCTGAGCGAGGCGGTCGTTCTTCGAAGGAATAATTGATTACTTAATTGCTTCAATAATCATCGTGCATATCGCGAACACGACAAATACCGGTATACATCACTCATGATCTGACCTACGCCAATCTCGCGATTTGGTAAATTGATTGGAAAATCGTGTCGTGTAACGATGTCAATTGTCTTTTTCACACAAGCGCCACCACCGTCATATAATGAGGAACCGACTCGCGAGAGAATTCTTCCTTCCTCTGATTTTTTGCGAATTCCGGTGCGATCGAATTCGCTCGCAAAAATTTTTTTGCGCACTCAAATCTCACACCTTGGGTGGTGGTAACACCTTTGTTCAAGAGTGACATTCGGCACCCGTCGGACAAGGCGATGCGGATCAAGCCTCATTCGTATGCGTACGCATAACCAAAATCTCGTATTTACCCGGAGTTTAAAGGAGTTTAATTAGACACCACAGTTTAAAGTTTAATTATGGTGCGTGCGCAGATTACGTACGATTGGTTACGTAACATCATTACTGTCGCCTGTGCAACAAATAAGCAGCAATAATCAGGTGCAAATGATTCTCTGAGGGATGACCGGTAAAAAAAAAAAATGATGTGAGGGTGGCAAATCTCTTGTGGCCGTGACGCAGTAAAATGAAATTACACAACAACAGGTAAATAGTTACCAAATGTTTACCAACAATTCTCAAGGAGACAGAGACAGTCATACACTCTCTTGTTCAAGGTCAATCCACAAATAATGCCGTGCAATGGTTTCCCCAGGGACAAATATTGACGCAAATAATTGATCTGGTGCGAAAAAAAATGCATTATCAGCTCTCTTGATACCAGGTTGCGAATCGAGTGGTATCGAAAATTAAATTTACCCATGAACGGCATTATTATTTTTATTATCTTTATTAATTATTAATTATTTTGATTTTTCATCTCGCAGTATCATCAGAGGTCGTTATCTCAGCTATCGCACGTATAATTCTAATTCCAAATACGGTATCACGCATCCGGCATTCAGTTGCCTAAACCCGCTAGGCGGAAACCTTTTCTTTTGATAACCTGGTTTTCACGTACGATACCAGCGGATATTTGTTGCACGACGGAATAAGGTTTGTACTTAAAGAAAAATCAACCGTCTTTAAAAAAAAGCAGCTATCCCACAAATTCGAAAAAGAGAAACTACTCCCCAAGCCCAGAGCAACAAGTATGACGGATGATGCACGGTGTAATTCTTGTACAAATTAGAGTCACGGTTGTGTCACATCAAATAACAATAAGTGGTGCCGACTATATGAGAGTGAAAGGGCTTCGCAGCTCACCGATCCCGCCACGATCCTATTCTCTTTCCGATTTACGCTGTTGCCACTTGCCCATCATGCATTACCAGTGCCACGAATTCTGCGAGCTTCTTACGCATGTCCCAAACGTTATTTCAAATGAATGATCATTAATTAAGTCTGTGATCATACACATTCGCATATTTTACTCGGTGGATCATCGCGGCCTTTTCTCTTTTTTACCTGACGAGCTGTCCATCATTGGTTCTAATCTTAATTGAAGGGTTTAACTTAACCCTCAACTGCAGCCTACGTTATCGTGCTATACATGTTATGCGATCATCCACCGCATTTAATTTCTCATATCGTTATGGTATGTACATAAAGGTACAGTACAGTACAGTACAGTACGTACGTACGTTATTTGTGCATGTATCACGATTTCACCTCTCCACAGAATCATCTTTCCTTATACAGGACAAACACATCAATTAGACGAGCAAACGGGCAGCAACAGAAAAGAAGCAGGACGCAGTCCTGGTGGTCATGAAATTACCGACTTTGATGACCCTACCTTTTTTTTTTCTTTTTTTCGATTATGCGTAGAACCAAACCGGGAACATGCTAATTGCAATTGTCGTTCCAAAATAATAGATTGACAATTCGTTTTTGAATGGGAGGGTTTTTTCTATTGATTGCACTGATTAGCGGGGAAGGTGTGTACGGACGCACATACATGCACAATCGATGGAATTTCCCACCGATCACTGTACACAATTCCAGCACTGTGTGATACTGTTACATGTTGGCAGTGTGTAACAGGCGGGATGCACAACAAATAAAAAGAAAACACGTACAATCTACCAACCAGGTATTATTGTTGGAAATGTTTGTTGGTAAGTTTTTAATACTACTGTATTTGTACCAACAAGAGGTGTGGAGTCTTCCATGAATTTGTTTAGATCGTGTTTTGCGTTTTGTGCATCGTATCCGCAGAATTATGTTGCAGGTCCATATATGCACATCATGTACAGGTACTGTACTCCAATAACATGTGTGTATCTTGTGATTTCTTTTTTAAAAAAAAAAAAAAATTTTTTTAAGGTTAGATGATTAAATGTAATGTGTATGATAAATTATTCTCTTGTTACACGGCGGTGAGGTTTAATGCATCTCTTACTTTAAACGTTAGAAGTATGTAACCTTCCAAATCTGCGTTCATTCATTTTTTTTTTTTTTTTAATGTATGTCGCATAATGTAGACGCAATGCACGCATATATGACAAGATTCACAATTACTTCAATTACTTATTATCCATC